ACACAGACGGGGTCGTCTCAATATGCGTTTTTGCAATTTGCATATAGGCAAAAACGCATAAAAAGAATTTTTTAGGTTTCAAAATCTTCTGCATTTTTCATTCAGGATCGGTTTTACAAAGGCCTGGTTCACTCTGTCATTGTTTTTCCCGAGTTGCATCTCAAGCATAATTCAGGAATGCTCGAAAAAATTTGAGAATTAACCCACTGCAGGTGCCCGACAGGATTTAAAGTCGGTATCAACTATCAGCCGCCAACAGTAGTACCAGGAGGTGATGTAGCCAAACTTCAGCGAGCTGTCTGTATGCTGGCCAACACGACCTCGATCGCAGAGGCCTGGGCCAGACTGGACTACAAGTTTGACTTGATGTATGCGAAACGAGCCTTCGTCCACTGGTAAGTCGGCATGGTCGCTTTGTTGTCTTGCTTGCAAATTCTCACACAAATCACGAAAAACAAGTGGAGTGGTGGAGTAGCATGATCCTGGTAAGCACCGGTGCTTCGCAAAAATTGCTTCTGATTCAACTGCATGAAAGGAATTTAAGCCGCCCTTAGGATGCGCTAAAAGCCACTTTCGGGAAATTACCTTTGTTAGGGTTAGTGGAGAAAAATTATTCCAATCGCCAACAAATGTCTTTTCTGTTTTGAAGGAGCAAAATGTGGGTGAAAAAGAACAAATGGAAAGGGACTCGCTTTGGGTAAACGGCTCTTAGCAAATCCTAAAAGTTTTATACATTTGACTTTATAGCTTCTGAGAAAATATTTCGACATTAAAAATATCGAATTTCTGCAAATTTTTAGGTATGTTGGAGAAGGAATGGAGGAAGGTGAGTTTAGCGAGGCGCGAGAAAATTTGGCGGCGCTGGAAAAAGATTATGAGGAAGTTGGCTTGGATAGCATTGACGATGATTATTGACAATTATTGCTTTCGATTTCTGTTGCTGGAACATATAATTTTTGAAATTAATTTTTTTTTTCGCTTCAAATAATGCTATAGTTCTAGCAGCTATTGCAACCGATCTTTATTGATTCATTCGTAGTGTGC